GTAATGCAGCGGATTATATCGACAAGTCTTTCCATATACATACATCAACGAATGTCGACTTTACCTGTAAGCACCCCCCTAGTCTACCCAGTAGCGCCTTACGAATCTCGCCGCACAATGAATAGGTATAAGGCCTGTCAGAAACTGCTCATCCACGCCGAAAACTCACGAAGTCCGCGCAGAAGCAGAGCTCAGGGAAGAGCGAGGAAAGACATCGACCAATGGGATGCGGCGGAGATTGCGGAGAAGATCACAGCAATGGAAATCGATTCCGGAAGGCGTGAATGGACTGGCGCATATACCCCCCCTCTCATTACTATGCCTGCTATGTCTGACTACAGCCTGGACACTGATCTCGCTGCACCAACTGCGAGGTACGAGGTTCTTCACGACCGGCTCGACTCGCTGACCCACGCCAAGCCGGCACGAATCTCAGCCTGTGGATGGAAAAAGATTTCGGAACTCGGTGCAATGACAAGGGGGGTGGAGGGCTTTCAGGAAGAGGTGTCGGGAAGATAGGGTGTTGGAGTCGTGGAAGTGGAATTCGTTTGGTGGCGGGGCTGGAATATGTAAGGTAGTTGCAAAAGTGGGACGGAGTGGCGCGCGAAGAGCCAAGGTCACTGCATTGCAAGAGTAGAAGAATGGGAGGTCAGGATGAACCAGCTCACCGAGTTGTGGGGAGTGCAGGATATAGAGGGGGTGAAGTTATAGGCATCCAGGTGCTCAGATGCAGGTACGATGTGTGGAACGGTTCGTAGCGAGATCGCGCTACGGTATTGTGAGTTTCAGTAAATACAATTTCCTTGACTTCGCTATGCTGTGCGCGAGCTCACGTCGTTACGTTGAAGTTCTTGCAAACACGTGCGCCTGACTTTCTCGTCCGGTTTGTCGATCTTGCTAGCGTGGGTCTAGTAAGCCAATCGGAGGCCGAGGAAGAGTCAGTAGTTCCGCCTGAAGCTATCACTGAGTTGCGTTAAACATGTTGTTGTACTCCGAGATCAGACTCTGGTTTTGTTCTTGCGATTGACTTTTCCGTAGTGTCTGCAAATCCAAACTTGTCAAGGCCGTGCAAGGTTTATGGATGGGAGACTGTCTTCTCGAGGCTTCGGACATTATTGACAAGAGTGGTGATGGAGGTACTCAATGATATTTCTTTTCTGTTAAACTGAAGCTATACTATCATTGGGAGAGTATCGAGGTTGGGGTGTTTTTCCTATAGATCGTCACGAAATTGCTGGAGCACTTCACTTCCAGGCACATCTTCTGAAGCTGGATGTTTTCATTGCTGTGGGCACGACGACTTTGAATTTCAGGCACCTATAAGAACTGTTTCCAACCAAAACGCCGGTCCATCCATCCTCATCATAGTTCCATAGTCAGTCCGTCTCATTGCATTCCGAGTGAACAACCCCACCCCTCAGGCGTATACGCATTCGAAAAGAGCTCCTCATACAACGAGTACCAATCCATAGTATCCAGCAATCCCCCTTCTTTCGCATCGCGCCAAACTCGACAAAGCTTCATGGTATACGCCAGCTACTCCAAAACGTCAGCCATACGTTTACAAATCAGACAGATATGACTCACCTCAATCGCCGCCCTTCCTCAAGCGGTGCCACAGCTTGCCGATGAAGCCCTCCTTCTTGATTTCCTCTTTGCTCTCGACCTTGTTCTCCTTCCCCGCCTTCTCCATCTTCAGCTCCCTCACCTTCCGCTCCGCCTGAGCCGCTATCTCCCTCTCTCTCGCCAACTCGTTCTCCAAAGCCGCAACCAGCGCGTTACGACCGCCTAGCGTTTGGCGCAAATCTGTATTCTCTCTCATGAGGGCCTGGTTGTCAAGGGTGACGTGATCGAGTTTGGCGTGCAGATCGGCGATGATTACTGCTGGATCGGTGGAGCTTTCCGTGACGGTACGGGAGCGAGTGCGCGTGGGGGTGTCATACTGCGTCCCTGGAGGTGAGAAAGCGGACATTGAGGGTACGCCGGTTGGAGTACGATTGAAACGGGGCGGCGACAGGGATAGCGGCATCGTAAGTGCGGTGTTGAGACTAGAGTCGCGTTGGGGTACGTAGCAGTAGAGGGCGAAGTGAGATGTTGGACAAGGTGAACACGCGGGCATGAAAGCATTGAGGCTCTATTGTCCGATCAGGCGACCGCGGTGAGGTGAGCAGGTTTTGGTGAAGTGAAAGAAGGTTTTATCGGCGCTCAGGCGCGAAAAGCCGCTCCCCGACGCGGGCGTGGTGTGCTTTCGATTGACGCTGTCATTGACCGCATGGAAGATCGACCGCAGGTGATCGTTGCGTGTTGAACTCGGATTAGAAATTTAGAAGATCTGCAAATGCGTGAAGCGGTGAAATTTGGGAGGGGCCATAGGGGCAGGATTGACACTTGCTTGCATTCTCACTTCGCATTCTTCCAGCCCCACAGTGTGACGCTTGTTGAGTTTCTGTGCCACAACTTACCTTGCCTCGAAGTGAAGCCTCCGCGAATACCCATTGGTAACGCTCCAGGACCATCTGCAATGCGCTTTCAAGGAGCGGGCAGCGAGGGCAAATTCCTGAGAGTGCGAGTGATTTAGAAACCTGGTACTTGTGTTTCTCGCACTGTACTCGTAGAGTGACCACATGCAGACTGGTTACTCAATTCAGAGAGCTCGGCCTTGTGGCAATTGATACTGTGAAGTGGGTAGGGTTACCGAGGGGCCCTCGGGAGTAACGGTTTTGCACGTTAGCGCATTGCGGTACTTCGTCGATCCCCCCGTGGTTATTTTCTGACGAGTGGGCTGGATTTCGAGCGCTGAGAGAGGATAATCAATAAGACTTAGTAAGTTTTCATAGCACATTTGGAACTTTGTATGAACTGCATTGGCAAGCTTCATGCACCTGCTAGTAAGATGAGAGAGACGAAGTCTGTTCTTACAGGCTCAGGCTATAATCTTGAGCAATGCTAATAGTTTCTACTACCGTTGGTCATAAGATATTAATCTCGGGTCGGGCCTCGCTAGAGTGGGTGGACACCCTCAACTAGTAGGAATAAGCCTGGGCAAGCGAACAAGGCCTCTAAGAAAATATCAGCCACGGACGCACGCCAACTATATGTTGAGTCGCACGCCGAAGTACATCAACGAGCTACATATTTTCCAACGATTCCAGGCCCCGGCACATAACCCTTGTTCCTGATCTTCACCCAAGACTATAGAGTGGTCGCAGTCAATCAAAGTTCCATGAGATGCAAATGCCATCATTCAAGGTACGAAAGCCATGAGTGACACGGATGCCCCGAAATGATGAGAATGATGTAAGGTACATTGTAATCCCTCCCGAAGAATGTCAAGGTGGGCATTCCAGGTATTTTGGAAAGTGAGTGTGAGCGAGGTATATTCCCAATACGACAAATCAGGCTGCAAGTCCATATTTCACATCGTCGAGTAGATTTCATTTGGCACAACACTGGAGCAAACTCATTGAAATTGTAGCCAAGCGGTAAACTTGAGATTAATCGGCCGTAATTCAAGATTAGGAAGATTCAATAACACATATGCACATCCAGCAGAAAACTCATAAGTTGATCAAAGATTGCCCTTCATGACACTGTCTTGGATGGTTCACATATATGTCTAAACCCCACATCCGCGGATGATATCTGCCTCTGGTTCACAACTGCAAAGTCACGAAGTTCCCCTATAGCATTAACGCAATGGCGAAGAGCTCTAGGATGATCTGTTCTTGTTCCGTCCTCGCTCGTAGTTCCCAGCCGGATATGCAGGTAGGTTGAAAGCGCAGTAAATAGTAGCTGGTTAAAATCGCGGGTCTAGTGTGTTGAATTTCTGTTGGCTGTACTACTCAACTCAATTCCGCCGAGACTCGTGGGATGAGGTAGTCTTGACTGATGACCCAAGAAACGGAAAAGAGTCGTTGAATGGTTGAGCATAGTACGAGTGTGCCTAGTGGTCTGTCAGCCGGAGCTGATATCAATATCTCAAGCGTCGTTGGTGTTTCCCATATGAACTGTTCCAAATAGTTTCCTTTGACGAACAACCCAATGAACCACGATACACACCACGAAAAAGTTTACAGAACCACTGCTATGATGCCCATCAAGAGTCATTGAGGGTATCTGCTTTATTATACCAGGTACGTCGTGCAAAATACTCATGACTTGAGATTTGAAAGATTCAACGTTCCGTCCCAGTTCCAGATGGAATTTGCGACAACCGAGATCCCCTATTCCTTGAAACACTCAAGTATTCCAAGGATAACAGAGGACTTTTCGAAACGTAGATAACATCTCCAAGAAGACTTGCCAGTCTCGATATGAACGTGTGCGAGTACGTAATAATTTTCCAAATTCCTGGCCGTCAAGCTCAATGGCTTACGAACCTTTCGGCTCAGGATAGCAACTACGCAGGTCTTCGTCCACATCAACATTCTTGAGACTCTGAAAAGTTCGTGTAAAAATCTGCTTGCCAGGGGAATGACAAGCGCAATAGGGCAGTGAAAACGGCGAAGTCCTTCGAAAGAGGAAAAGCAAGAGAGGTTACTATACAATAGAGGACTATTGAGCGTAAAAGTACTCATAATGCGAATCGCAAAGGCGTATGAATATGAAATTAGATATTCCGAGGGCATGGAGCGAAGATTAGTAAGCTTACAACCATGACAGAGTAGGCGTCCACGAGGACTAGAGTATGGACAATCTTTCGAAAACTTCATGTTTTAAACAATGTACGAGGTTGGAATTTATAAATGACGTTCGTACCCATTATTCCGGTAAGGTAGTGACATAACCGCATCGATTCGATTCGCGATTAAGCCGCTTTCTGGTACAATGATAAGATAGCTTCCTACCTGTTTGCAAGCAACCATATTTTGCTCCCGTGCTCCTGATTCTGGACCGTGTTCATCCGGTCGAATATGGTTGTCGTTATACCAGTGTAATTTCATCACCGTTGGCAAATTCGGTTGTATTAGTCGGATCTCGGGTGATATTGCCTGGAGTATCTTGATACTGACGACTCAAATGAGACGTTCGCTACTTTCCCAAAACCCCTCAGTATCACGGCAATTAACATCCGGGTATTCGAGGAAGGGTTGTTTGTGATTAACTCCTGAAATGAAATCATGAGGATTGCCCCAGTTGATAACCTTTGTATGTTAACCTAATTCTTCGTCCGTAAGCTATCGGGTACAAGAATCTACAATGCTGTGCCAACTATAGTGAAATATCGCCTTTGTCTACGCCTGATTATCTGGGTGCGACACCTCTCTACTCAGATGTTGACTGCTTGAATGTGTAGTTGGTAGTTCTTTAGTACAACTATTCCTAGCAGAGATACGATGTCGTGCTCTCATGTTCTGGGAAATGTATGTAATAGGTTGGTGTGGTTCACATTGTTCTCATCGATAAAAAGGGGGATTTGATCGACCCTAGCAGAGTTATGTCGCTCCCAGATCGTAACTATTGAGGCGAGTGTGCAGACTTTCTCGCTATAGTAATACACGGTCTGCAGAAGTCAGTATACATCATCGGAGCATAAGCAGGCCTGCACTCCAAGGGACATTGGTGCGAATGGGTCGCCGATTGATATGAAGCACATCCCTAAGACGTGTTAATGGGTCCTTGGGCGTCTTCTCATCGACCTGAATAATTAGACCAGTCCGCGATAATGAACTCGAGAGACTCTGGACGATGCCGCAGCAATTATTATAGTACACAGTGAAATTGCACTCGGCATCATGTGCCGAGTTAGTCAAGAGATGTGCAATATCATACCCTTGCTCGCAACGTTGTAAGTAGCTTCGAGAGTTCTTCCTAATAAAGTTTTGATCTCGGGTTAGCTATAGATGTAACAGATGTGCGCAAAAAAGTACTTATAATTTGATGTGAACGCTAGTTCACGTGATAGGGGTTTCACCCGGAGTGACTCGCTCAGAACATGGCTTAACAACCTACTTTCGGTGATGCGGTAGTGGGAGAGTCTCTGTACAACCATCGTCTCTCGTCTTATTAGTTTTGGCCACCCGGTTTCCAGCAATGAGAATGTCTCAAGGCTATACACTTGTTATGTTTATTTCGTGATATTATGTTTGTTCTTCTGTGCTTAGCCGAGCACATTTTTCGACAGACGGTTGAAAGGGCATTCCAGAATTCCAGACTTATCGGAATGTTGATTGCGAGCAGCTTGAAGGCATTCTTCTGAACTTGCACCGAGACAAATCTTACTAGACCAAGCTAACTTGAAAAGCGTTGAAGGGTTAATTGTTAAGGATCCGATGCAGGCCAAAAATCCACGAAACGCAAATAGTTATAACCCAGTCTCTTTTCCGTGTGATTAACTGGATATATGTATGCACTCTCGCTGTTTTCTCCTAAAATCGCCGGTTTTTGGTTATCTCATTCTGAGCCAAAGTGCGAGGCTGGGGATTCAGTTCATTGCAGGCAAGATAGACGCCTAAGCATAATGTTTTCAACGGCACGGAAACAAACCCTCTGTGGATAGTAATATGTTCCTGATGTATAATGAGCTGGGAGCGCTAGATCTACGTACAATTAAGACGAGCTAAAAACTATATCCGTAACAAACAGCTATCGTACTTGCTTTGGGTTAAAGTCTGGAAATCTATAGTACGGGGGTTTAATAATAATCTGAGATTTCAATTGTTCAAAGGTAAGAGCAAATTTCGCTATTTACAGCTGCATAACAATGCTGCGGTTATATATAAGGGCGAAGAAGCTGGCCCGGTATGCTATATGCTCACCTTGCACTTCGTGAAATCAGAAGGAAGCTTCTGTACGTTCTCCGCGAAAAGCTCAGTAAGTGTTCTTTGGGTGTAGTGATGCACCAATCTGAGAAAAACACAAGTATTGAGAAATCAAACCTAATTAATCGTTTCACATCTACAAACTTTACACTCTCGAGTTGAGTCTCTCGAGGGTCTGCTTGGGAGGTGCTGTTATTGCCAGAACTCGAAGTTAGCTTTTATGTACCGAGATGCATTTTCTCCCGCATGTACCACATTGTGAGTAGATGATCACTATTTGGGGCACCATTGATTATCGGCGTCCACTGCGGGACTGAGAATCCAAATGAAGTGCTCTCCTCCACCAAAATTTATCCTAATAAGTAGTATATCAGTATTGACTTTCGATGCTCGGTTGAATTTCTGTTAAAGTTTAGACAGTCTAGTACTGAAGCTCGTCGAGTCCTATTAATTCTTTGTGCATCCCAGTACCGATTCTCGGACTCGATACTCATCTGGCGCGGCCGGTGATACACTTGAGGAAATGAGTAGCTCCGAATATAGGACAATTTTCGTTCTAGACCGGTTGGGCAGAATAGGTTTCTCTATTCTTATCGAGATGGCATGATGCGTAGACCTCTCTCGTGAGCGAAAGCTATCAAGCAGATGCGATGAAGCGAGTCTGATGGAGCTTCCAAGATTAATGCTGCAACATCACATCACAACAACGGGATTAATGTTCAATCGATGGTCATCGGTATAATCTTTTCCGCGCCGACTGCTCAAATCCAGCCTGAAGTGAGAGCTGATGTCTGCAAGATTGAATGTTTAGCCTTCCTAAGGGATGCCGGCCTGCCCAGGTATATACCTCATCTTTTTACCTTGCCGTCCTAACGAAATCACGTGTGAGTAGGCTTAACTCACTGCTGCTTCATGCAAGGATATTGTTTGCAGCGAGGACAAACTTGCCTGCGCCTTCTATTATCGCCGCAAAACCTGGGAAGCAATCGGACTCAACTTCAATACATGCACAATCTATGAATGGTAACATCTTGATGAGGTTCCGTGCGCGGATGTCGAAAGTGTAGTCATTCAAGTTTACTAAATCGATTTCCACTCCAGTCATTGATTTATCGAGATGCCGCAAATCCGCCGATGCTCTAGCACAAAACTCATTGAATGCCAAGACTACTACGTAGCGAATGTTTGAACAACACCATTACTGGGGAGACATGGTGACAGGCTGTTCACATGTAGACCTTTTGAGAGTCAGGAACTTTCGGTCTATCCTATAGACGGGCTCGTTGAACCCGCGGATTTCGGCCCGACTATTGGCCAGTCAGATTGCGTCGACAAGCTGGTATAATGTCCGTCTTTAAAGTTTTCTCGGCACAGAGTTTTAGTTCTAAGGTTCTTTACTTGTGGTACACAAACTTGTTGGCCAAAATCCGCGGGTTCAACAAGCCCGTTCAGGGGTTGACCACGACATATGCTTATTACCCGTTGATAGGACCATTGTATAGTGAAGAGGTAAGTACATCGCAATTGTCTCATATGACTCTTATTCACCTCTTGACAGGAGATGGGTATGTTTCACATAGACTTCCTTGGGTGTCACGACAGTATCGATCGAGATCAGCGAAGATAGAGATGATTCCGGAGCAACAGATAAGAAATCTCCAAGTTTGGTGTGAGTGGTAACCTATTTCCCAACGCAGGTTGCAACATCGGCCTTTTGCTTTTTAATGCGAATGAAGAAGAAATGATCACCAAGTTGACCTCTTATGCTATTTCCGCCCAGGGAGTGAAGACAAGTTTCGCTGATAGAACGTTAGTAGTGATAACTGGAGTTTATCAAGCTCGCTGCGAACCGAGGTAGTTGACAATCAACTCAACATCGATGTTGCAGATGAGGAGCCGTTGACGAGTTCCGCTAAATATGCAGCGGTGTAGTCAAGAGTATCTCTATCTACTAGAGTCGTCCTACCTCGGGTTATTGGTTGAACAATCAATTTCACAGTATACACATTTTCTATTTCTAGGTATGCTCCATGTTGGTGTAGGCGATCATGAACTTGGGCAAGACGGTAAGATACTGCGTCTGGAGTCCTCCTGCAAACACAGATGACTATGTTGATGCTTAACAACCTGTGCGAAGGGGATGAGATTTTTATATTCACTTTCAGCATTATATTCAAGATCGGTAGAAAAGTACTACACTGCATTCATATTGCATTTCAGCATGGCCCGGGCTGGTCTGAGTACGGCTCGGCCGTTGTGATACTCCTGGAGAAAAGCCATGTAAAGTCTCGTTGGATAACTACCTAACATCCGGCTCACTAAATCTCTCCTGTAGAATAGAAATGGTACATGGGAATGGCGACCCGATGCTCCAAAGATGGATGAATATATTCACGGCGCTTAGCTTGGCCTTACTAGTGGGTTCTTCAGCACAGTACCTTTCGATCACTTCTCTGGGACAGTCAGTTGCATACCTGGCAAGGCCTTGGTTCTTCTCGGCCGGGTTACATGATCAGAGAAGTTCTGCTATGGTCGTAATAGCTACTCACAACCCAGTGCATTCTTCTCGCGTGCGTCATGCTTGAACTCGACTGAATTGCACCAATGCCTTACGAGTATGTCACCTTGGGTGCTTGCCGTCAGTTTTGCTCATGGTGAAGTGATTGAGTTGGGAAGCAGTCATACCTTGAGTTGGATGGGAATGGCGATCTGCTTAAGTTGATTCCGGACAATGAGGACGTGTTCTCTACATGGAATCTGAGAGCTCAAGAAGATTATGTCCTCTATAACGCTCAGGCTTTGATGGAACGAGGATTTCAGACCGAATGATATGGAAACCCCATACTCTCAGGCTGGGAGCTATCAGATTCCCAGCTATCAGAAGGACTCTCTACTCAAGATCAGGAAAATGTCACTTCACTATTTCTAAAACTTGTTGTGTCCGCGAAGAATGTATACGACGAGTATGTAGCAACTGTTGCCATTATCAGCCATGGTCTGGGGATAGACCACCGCGAGATCGTCTTGGATACATCATTCACAGCAATCACAAAACCATAGCTACGTCAAAAGTTTCTGTATTATCACCGCAAATGAACACAAGTAAGACAGAACTAAAGGTTTGGACGAACTTGACGAGCTCGACTACCTACTCCCGACGTGTATGCAACTGTGTCCGTCGCGTCGGGGTAAGTAGATGAATGCTATGGGGTATTGCCGGTGATCTCGTGCAGGAAGACGATTGATAGAATAGAAAGAACATTTCAGATGTGCCTGTAGCGAGAATTGCGTAGGAGAGTTTCAACATCAAGGAACGCCTCTTTCTGATAAGTGGGCATTGCAAGACTATCGTCCTATTTTGAGTTGTATCACAGGCTGAGATCGGTAGCAAGGTACCGTTGCCTATTCACTGTCGGACATTGGCCATGCCTAATTAAATCAGGGAAAGGTGAACGAGGACCTCGAAAGATAGAAGTACGTGGAAAGGCTGAGAGCTAGGAATTTGACAACAAGCAGTTGGAAGATTTTTCGCAGTAAACAATGCGATTAGTGTTATATTGCTGAGTTTGGCTTTCTTGACAAGCTCTGCTGGACGACGGAGGGGAAATGGCATACCAGGACAATATCAGAAGGCTGGAAGTTCTCCGCGTTTACGAGTCGAATCGGGAGATGTACCGCTGAAGCCAAGACGGTATATCAAGCAATTTTTCTCAGCATTTCGTGACGCAAATACAAACCTGTAAAATGAGCGCATCTCGAGAAGGAAACTGCGGGAGACTGTAAAGTGATGTTGCAATTGGCCCGTTTTTCTCTGTAGGTAATCCGGTCCATTGTTTATCTTCGTCTAGCTGGTAGGGATAAACTACACTGGCATTATGCTCAGCTCACTGAGATCCGGCAAACTCAAAAACCTTCTACAAGATTCAACCAATATCAACCCTTGTGGCGGTGCTCAATAATAGTCTCACAGAATCCCCAAATTAAGCATGGAAGAAGCGCCTGCTTCTCATGATAGCAAGACCCCCTGAGTTGAAATGAAGGTATCTCGCCTTGATTACGCCTTGAGACCTGCTGAGCTCCCTGAAGAGGTTCTCACCTGGGCAGATATACACGAGTTCGTTTTGGTTGGTTCGTAGTATAACGAATTTGGCCAACTTCGCATAATCAGTATTAGAGTATGCCGTGGCAAAGCTGCTTGCCTCATTCTTTCGCAGATATAACGGCCGGGGAATCACGACGGAATTAATACACTACGGCTTGAAGTAAGGATAATCTTGCGCGGCTTGACCTCACGAACTTTGAACACGAATGCTGGTTTCAACGATCCGCACACGATGCATAAGTAGATAGAGTAGCACATGTATCGGGATTTTAGCTCAGTCGCTTCGATCCTCAGAGAGCTTCTTGAAATATCGAGACCAGATGGAAACGAAGCAATGAGATACCCTGAATCAGGTACCGGGGTACTTCGTTGACGTAATACGCACTGGGCACCTCAAAGCACAAGAGAAGATTGTCACTGGAGTGATTTCGAGAATACTTTACTGCCTGAATTATTCTTCGGCCCCTCCAAAAGAATCTATTTCGAGATGATGATTATGCCGGCTATGTATTGGAGAAACAGCTCAGTGACGATATCACCTGTACTGGGAAAAACCAAGACCACTGTATGCGGAGAAGTTGAGGACTTGTCAAGGTTGTGCGGCTCAGATATACCAGTTCAGGTCTCCGAGTATTTCTAGAGTGGCTGGAAGGAAAGCAATCACTGGTACAGCACTCGCGAGAACCAAGTCAAGTCCTGTGCCGATTACTTATTCTGATCAGTCTCGTCCCTGGAGAAAATCGAGGATGAATGTACAACCTTCGGTACGTTCACTGCTTAGAAAGTCGAGATTCTTGCTATCTCTAGGAAGCACTCCTGTGCGCATACATCTAGCGACTGATGATATGTGTACCAAGCGGCTGTTCCGGCGCCTTCTTTGAGCATGTTCATTACATGGTATTGGCCGTCCGACTCGGAACTGTGGACCGATTCAAAGCTTCTGCTTGTTCATAATTTCAAGCACGATGACTATCACGACAGCCATGAGAACATCAACAGGAACAATACCAGAGCGGCCGGAAGGGTTTCCGCCAACACAAGAACCTCGATCTCGGGATTGCGAGTCCATGGTGAATGGAGTTGATTCTCAAACCTGGCATACACCATACTACGAGCTTCGGTTCGCTCAGATTTAATCGCTGGAGCCATGATCTCGGGTCAGGAAAATGGTGTTCTTGGTTGATTTTCACACTGACCTCCGGACCCGAAGCGGTTTTCCATTTGGATCCATTGACGACTTTTCTAGGATCGCACGTACTTTAGACCCAGATATGTGATACTGCTTTGGGGTACGTTAATGCATTGTAATAAGAAGTTGGAATTACAGGCAAGTCTAGGAGTTCAAGAGGAGAATATTGTGAAGGTTAGAAACATTTTTCAGAACAGGATAAAGGAAACAATGAGAACTAATAATGATTCCGCATCATGAGGTGAGTATAATGCCTTGATATCACTCACAATAATGGCGAAAGAAATCCTAGAAACACAGAATCTTATTATTTACAACACGAAAACAAACTTCAAAACAGAAAGAGAACAGAACGCAAGACACTATCTACAATATTCAAACTTCCTTCTCCTCCTCCACCTCCCCCTCTCCAGCCACCTGGCCTTCCTCCCCCTTCTCTTCCACCAGCACCGTCTTCTCTTCCTCCGCCAAACCCAAGGCGGCAGGACGGCGAACAGGCGGCGCCCAGCGCGAAGCAGGAGCAAAGCTCGGCTGGTTCAGCGGAGCAGCAAGCGGCGACATGAACGCGCGGCGAGGGCGTCGAGCACTGTTGCTCATGAGGCCCAGACGGGGCGTGGTGGTGGGAGGGGGCCGGGAGGGGGTTTGGGGCGGGCCGGAGGCCTCGTATCTGCGCTGGTCTGGTACACATTTAGTCATGATATGAGAGCGCATTGGTGAGATTTTGCATAGGCCATGAGGCGCGCCATGGAATTCATGGTAGGAAACTACCTTGGCCAGCAACATCTCCGCCGCGATCGTTCTCCAATCGAGGCGCATCTACAGAAAAATGAATGTAAGCAACTTTGAAAGAATCGCGATTTGTGATAATGCGGATCCTGCGCATTCTTTCTAGTATCTTACAGCTCGCGCCCATTCGCCTCGGCGCCATCCTCAGGTATGAACCTGGCGGTTTCGGCGGCGAAGCGGGCTCGGGGAAGAGAGCCGACGCGTCTTCGACCCGCGCAAGGCCTTCACCGCGCAGGGCCAGTGCCCGCCGATTGGCTATGATGGGGGCGAGGGTGCGCGACGTGCGCTCGGAGAGCGTCGGGTTCCGCAGCGGGGTGCTGGGAGGCGGGCGGCGCGGAGTTCGGTCAGACATGGTTTTGTTTACGAAGTTTTTACTGGTGATGCGACGTGAAATTTTGTGCTGGTATCTAGTCGGAGTACTTCAACGTGAGCGGCCGCTGAGTGTAGCTATTCAGGCGCCGGCACAGATGTGGCAACCAACAGAGCACAGGCCCACAACGTCACGTGCGATTCTAGAAACCTCCGCGCCCAAAACCTTCACCTATCCACACCATTCAGTTCTTGGATTTTGCAATTGCAAGCTGAGATACCTCGAGTGCAAATTTCCTACTACACTTCCATCTCATCACTAATCTAGATTCCAAATCTGGCCGCAGGATTAGCTGCAGTAGGAGGTCGACCTACTCAAACTGGCTTGAGATTTTGAGCTATGAAATCTTCCATTGATTACATACATTGATGAACATTCCCTCTCAATTACATGTCCAATGTGTGCACGAAGCGACTTGAAGCTCAGAAGAAAATCTCCCAACAATGTGTTTACAGAAGCGACGAAGATGGCCACCCGATCACTTCGCGAGCCTAGATACGATACCAACGAAAAGATTTCCTGGGACCCCACAACTCACATTGTCAGCACAGAAGTTCTGGGATAATTGAGTCGAGAGCGATGAGAGTCGTGTGCAATATGCTGAAACACGCTCATCAAGCAGAGAGTGAGTCCCGATAAGCAACATCAGTGGTCGGTTCCCTAACCAAGATCTCACGATGGTGAAACAACATGTTGATTTTCTTTGCACTCGTATTGAAGCAAGGACATCATGAAATGAACAAACGCGTAGACCAACTCCTATCCAGATATCTCATCACTCTGCAAGATCCTCACCAAGCTTCCTCTGCTCCACCCAACCCATCCAATCCTGCCAGCACCCTCCCCGCAAATGTCCCCGCTCCCCACTTCAGGATCCTCCCCAGCGCGCCCATAAATGCCCTCGCACCCCTTGCATCTGTCATGCGCCACACGTCCACAAATGTACTGTGATATTTCCCCTCAACTCTATGATGAACCCAAAGTTCATGCACAGCCCCCTCCGTCGCGACACTCCACACAACCCCGTCGCACCCCACGCCCTCCAGTATGCGCAACATGCACGCCGCGCCCACAGCAGCCTGGTTCTGGGCGCCAAACAGGCTCCCCGCGCTCTTGGCCTCGAAGATGAGGAAGGGGAAGTGCAGGCCGATTTTGGCCTGATGGGGGTCGCTGTGCAGGGCGGGGCGGGCGAGGATGCGCTGGTGGGGTGTTGAGAACCAGGCGTGGGCAAGGCCGATGCTGAGGTCTGGTTTGGGGGTTGAGAGGGCTTCAGGGTCGGAATCGGACTCGGCGGCAGTAAGGTAGGTAGAGGTTGTTGTTGTAGAGAGCGTGTCGGAGGCTGTTTCAAGATCACGGGTGTCGAGGCCAAGTAGGTCGGAGACGGTGGAGAGTGTGGAGAAGGAGCGGTGCGAGAGGAGGATGGGCGGCGGCATGGGGCGAGCAAGAGGGGCTGCTGTCGAGCGCACGGGCTTGAGTTCGGCGCGCCATGGCTTCTCCGCCGCGCTGGACTTGAGCACGTCTTTCCACGGGGGAAGACGCGCCTGCACCGCGTTGTTAGCTGATGTCGTGGCCTGTTATGGTTGGAGGTGCTTACCAGCTTCCGCATCACAGCGCCCATCAGGTCGGCCCTCCACTCGCTCTCGCCGGCGCCGTCCTTGGCCGACTGCCGACAGTTCCCGCAGTACTCGTCGGCAATCCGGTGTATGTCTGCCTGCAGCCCAGCATCCAACACGGCCTCGTCCAGGGCAGCGGCGGCGGCGGCGGGCACGTCATGGCAGTGGTCGATGAAGACGCCGGCCTCGCTGAGGTAGATGCTGCGGTATTCGGTGGGCTTCTTGGTCGGGCTGACGGAGCGCTGGCGATAGCTGGCCTTGGACTCGCGCCGGCGCGGGCTGGGGACTCGTGGCATGCGCGCACGACCGTCGGCCATGGTCTGCTCGACCATGGACTGCGGGGCGCCAGCTTCCGAGACGGCGAGCGCCCAGCCGAGAATTCCCGCCTTCGCGTCTGCGCGTGCAGCTGCATTTGGCAGGGAGACGCGACGGCGCTTGGGGGCGGCGATGCATGGCGTGGAGATGCCCTCTTCGGAGCGTGCGCGCTTCATTGTGGCGCTGGACAGGCCGGTATGTGCTGCTGGAGGGAGATGTGGGCGCGTTGAAGCATTGCAGGCTGTTGCTCGCGGCTCGTGTTGTGATGTTCGTCGCTCTGCCAACAGGGTCCAGCTCGCCAAGGCCAGCTTATCGATTGTCTGGCAAACTGGGATTCGTCCAAGTTCAAACTCCTTCACAATGAGACGAAGTGCTGCCTTGATGTAGCACAATGCTTCTACTTTGTACGCTAGATGGAGTTTACCTTGTAAGAACACTGTTGACGTGAACGTGCACAATACTGCTTACTCGACGTTCACTGCCTCCATCCCGTTCTCTATAAAAGATGCCCCTGCTCTTGTACGTAAAGTCTATATTGCAAAGAGGAACTTCTTGAACACGCTTCTTATTGAATCAACTTTGTTGGATCATCTCTCAACACCTTTCAAAATACCGTTCTTCACAAAGTCAGCAATGTCCAACTCACCGAAAGTTCAGCAATCCCGACACGAGGAGCTCGATGGCCTTCCAACCACAGAACATTCAGAGTCTGGAACGCCGTCCCTGCTATGCGAATTGAGTCGTGATATTGTTAATCGCGACTCTATCGATTTTGGGAACGACAATGCAAAGGTGGATGACGAAGACTCATGGCGTCGTTCGATAAGCGTCGATGGAGAGTCTGGTAGCGAGGACGAACAGGAACAGGAAGACAGCGATCTTTTCGACGCCGAGGAGCGGATGTTGAAGGCCGAGGACAAATGGATAAGGGCTCATGGGAAGCTTCGTGAAGAAGGAGATATGCCACGGTACTGGTACCTATTGGATCACTATACCCGTGATGCATTCCTTTATATCGTTCGCATGTGTTCAAAAGTTTGGAAGGTTAAGCTCTTGGATATGGTAACTGACGACACGATCAGCGACTTCGCCGCTAGCAGCAACTGGCTCGTCGCCAACTTGGAACGGCTCATTGCCGGTGAATATGTCGCATCAGTTGACATTGAAATTGAACTCAATACTGACCTCCAAGCAATCGCTATGGCTTGTCATTATCTCGATGCGCCGCGATTCGGGGGAACGGTTAATAATTATATAATTAAAGACTTTGCTGCTTGTGTTCGAATTCTTGCGAATAGTATTTAACAGCTTGTCGCGAACGCCTCTAACATAGCTTAAGCTGAGATTGCTTCTTTAGCTGACTATACGGCTGAGCTCACGAATATTGCTACAGAGCTTTATGCACTTAAAGCACGCATTAACGCGCACGATGCCAGCTTCAAGAAGCTTGAGAAGCAGAACCTCAAACTCAAGTCTGATTACGTTAAACTACAGATGCGCTGCGACGCCTGCGATGCCGCTTACGAGGAGCTCAAGAAACAGACACTCGAATACGCTGACAATTTAAGCAAACTGGAGGGACTAGTTACTCCCCAAGCTGAAGAGAATACAGGTAAGTCTATAGTCGGTTAAGGTACGGCACTACTACCACTAGGCCCAATAGCTTATACTATTAAGAACTTAAAGAAGGCGTATTCTGCTACTTAAACAACACGACAACAGGGACAACAAGATTTGTTGCAAGTAAGAAGAGATAGAGAAACAGCAGAGCCTTAAAAATATAGTTAAGGAAATCTTGTAACTAGAAGTTAGAGAGATTCCTAGTGTAATTAATAGGCAGAATAGCGCGGATATTACGAACAGCGCACTTAACTAGGAATATAACAAGTTAAGGAGAGCGTATAGAAAAATTAAGAGGATATACTTACTAGAGTAAGAGGTATTTTAAAAGAATAGAATATAGATTTCTATATTAAGCTATCTTTTTTACCTAAAAGTAGACTTTACTTTATTTTCTACTATTAACTAAATATTATTATTATATTTTATACTTAAGATAAAGTTTATACTATTATCTAAGTTTATAGTATACTTATTTATAGAAAGTAATTTTTAATACATTCTAGAGTATAAGCTACTATTAATACGTACTAGAAATAATAAACCTATAATTTATAGACTTACTTTAATTATAATAACTACTATTACTACTACTACTTCTATAACTAAGTAAAAGTATATAATATTATTTTCTAGTAGTACCTACACTGCTACGCTTACTTAGAATAATTTCTACTATTACTAGATATTACTTTTACTACCTACTATATTTTAGCTATTATTACTAACATAGATTAAGAATAGTTTTAATATATATAGTAAACTTAAAGTATATTATAAATATATTAATATAATATTAGAGTACTCTTTTATACTTATATAGTATATTATAACTATTCTCTACTAACTATATAATACTACTATTTAAGTATTACCTACTATAAGTAAGATTATAAAAATATATTAGTATAGAGCTATATAAAATAAGTATATAAGTATTAATAAGGTTACTCTATACCTACTTTTTATAAGTAATACTAACTTTAATAACTATATTCTAGGTATACCTTATTTTAAAAGTAAGTAGAATATTAGCCTTAATAAATATATTCTACTACTAGTACCTAGCTTATAAGTTAAAAAAATATAAAGTTTTCTTTTAACTCTATAGTTAGACTTATATAAAGGCTATATTATATAACCTAAAATATAAGCTACTAGCTATAAGGTACTTTTTATAACTACTAAAAAGACTATTCTATATAGCTTTTTACTAACTTAGTATATATACCTTTTATTTCTTATTTAATAATAAAAAGTACTTAAGTTAAATAGAAACCTATATAAAGCCTATATAAATTAGGTTAGTAGATATTAGGTTAATATCTAGTAACTATAGCCTATACTACTCTAGTTTTATATTATAGAGTTTAACTAAAGTCTACTAACTTACTTTACTACTATTATATAGCTTAACTAAAGTCTACTAGAACTATTATATTATTAGAGTAAAGTCTACTAACTTACTCTTACTACTATAGTATAGTTTAACTAAAGTCTATAATATTCTTAATAACCTATATTACTACTATTATATAAGCTCTACCTACCTATATTATTACTATATTATTACTATAACCTCTCTACGTTTATTAACTATCTTACTACCTTTACTAAAACTATTAAATAGCCTAAAAGCGCTATAGTATTATAGGCACTCTTATATACCTAGCTTATAGTCTAATAGAAATTATATAAGGTATTAACTCTCTACTATTTATATATAGAGTATATATACTATTCTTATAACTTATTAGATAGCTAGGTACTTCTATAGAGTACTACTCTTATAACCTATTAGATAGCTTAGTACTCTTATAGGCTACTATTTTTATAACCTATTAAATAGTATAGTACTTTTATAGGCTACTATTCTTATAACCTATTAAATAGTATAGTGCCTCTATAGGCTACTATTCTTATAATCTATTAAATAGTACAATATCTTTATAATTTAATTTTAGGCCTATATAAATTAGGTTAGTAGATATTAAGTTAATATCTAGTAACTATAGCCTATACTACTCTAGTTTTATATTATAGGGTTTAACTAAAGTCTACTAACTTACCTTACTACTATTATATAGCTTAACTAAAGTTTACTAGGACTATTATATTATTAAAATAAAGTCTACTAACTTACTCTTACTACTATAGTATAGTCTAACTAAAGTCTACTAGAACTATTATATTATTAGAGTAAAGTTTACTAACTTACTCTTACTACTATTATATAGTTTAACTAAAGTCTATAACGTTTTTAATAACCTATATTACTACTATTACGTAAGCTCTACCTACCTATATTATTACTATATTATTACTATAACCTTTTTATATCTATTAACTATTTTACTACCTCTACTAAAACTATTAGATAGTCTAGAAGCTCTATAGTATTATAGGTACCTTTATATACCTAGCCTATAGTCTAATAGAAATTATATAAGTTATTAACTCTCTACTATTTATATATAGAGTATATATACTATTCTTATAACTTATTAAATAGCTAGGTACCTTTATAGAGTACTACTCTTATAATCTATTAGATAGCTTAATACTCTTATAGGGTATAGCTCTTATAACCTATTAGATAGCTTAGTTCTCTTCTAAGGTACTACTCTTATAACCTATTAAATACTATAGTACTTCTATAGGCTACTATTCTTATAACCTATTAGACACTATAGTGCCTCTATAGGCTATTATCTTTATAACCTATTAGATAGCGTAGTGCTTTTATAAGCTACTATTCTTATAACCTATTAGATAGCTTAGTATCTCTATAGAGTACTATTATACTCCTTTAGGTTGTAGACACCTCTAAAATTTAGTAGGATATAGCGAAAATTAAAATATAAATAGGAGTCTAATAGTAATAATATTATAGTTAGAACTTAGATTTCTAATACTGTACTACTACTATTACATACGTCCTGCTCTGTACTCTCTTTTATAAAAGTTTTAATATAATATCTCTTAATTTTAAAGAGTTATTTAATGTTTTATATCTAGAAATAGTTAGATAGAGCTAATCTTAATTAGGAAGTTTTAAGCTAACACTAAATTAGAATAGAAAGTTTTAAGCTAACACTAAATTAGAATAGGTAGTTTTAAGCTAACACTAAATATAAGTATAAAGCCTTAAAGAAAGAGAGGTAGAAAGTAATACTAGTTATATATTTAGCGTTAGCTAGTAGTAAAAATTAGGTAGCTATATAAAGGCTAATAATACACTTTTTCCTATATAATAAAATATAATTCTTTTATTTTTAAGTATTACTACCTGTCTACTAACTCTAACCTGCTAGCAGGCTTAGAGGACTAGTAGGAAAACTAGTCTAGAAGTAGAGGTAGTTAATACGTAGTTACTAGTAAGTGTTTCTAGTAACTATACACTAACTATGCCTACTAGTAGACTTAGAGGACTAGTAGGAGAACTAGTCTAGAAGTAGAGGTAGTTAATACGTAGTTACTAGTAAGT